CTCATGAAATATTCTATAACAACCATAAAAAGAAATTCAATATTGAGCATGCTTGGAAGGAGTTTCGCAACGACCATAAGTGGTGTGATCTTTCTACTGCTAAAAACGATAGAAACTCTAAGAAGAGAAAGTGTGATGACGGTGCATATTCATCAAGCTCTCAAGAAACTGAAACCAAGCATCCCGCGGGTGTTAAGGCAGCAAAGGCCTGTGGGAAGAAGACTATGGTAGAGGAGAATTCGCTGAATGAGTTTCAGAGTATGTGGGACATTAAACAAAAGGATTTGGCAATGAAGGAAAGGTTTTTGAACATGAGTGTACTTGACTCTCTTATTGCAAAAAATGAATTTCTGGCCAAGTATGAAGAAGCCCTCAAGAAGAAGTTCATCAGTGACTTAATGTTTAATTAGTTTAAATGTAAGTGTAGCCGTTTAAGTGTAGCTGCTTAATGTTGAAGTTTGATTAGCTGAACTCTCTATTTTTTTGTCTTGTTAATTCTATGTTTCTTGTTCTTAATATAAATGCTTCGGAAATGATGATATAGATGCTTAATGTTTGTTATTGATGTATGTGTTATTATGATATGCACATTGTATTCCTATTCTCATGGCTTGTTGATTGTCCTTACTTTCAGGCCAAAACAGAGTCAAAGAGTGAAGCATTAGGAGTGGAAGAATCACGGATTAACTCTTTGTTTCTTGTGGCCTTGTTGTGGAGTCACGTAGTCTTGTATTCTTGTGTCATGAGTCTTGTGTCAAGAGTAGCCTTGTCACGGAGTGTTGTAATCTTGTGTCACGAGTCTTGTTGTCTTGTATCTGATTCTTGTAAGCTTGTAGCCTTGGAGTGTTGTAGTATTTGTGTCACGGTGTTGTAATACTTGTGCCATCTTCTCTGTATAAAGTAATGTTGCGTAGACATTTTTTTTCACAAAATCATATGCTCTCCTTCTCATCGTTCGGTCACAAACTCATATTCTCTTTTTCTCACCAAACAAAGATCATACAAATTCATATTCTCTCCTTCTCACCAAACAAAGTCATATTCTCTCTTTCTTACCAAACAAAGATCATCGTTTGATCACAAATTTTATGCACATTCAAAAACAATTTCTCTTGTTTGGATCACAAATATGACATCTTCTTCTCATAACACATTTTATGGATCAATTGATGATAGTACTTTTGATCAATATTTTGATCAACAATTTGATCAACATTTTGATCAAATGTTCGAGAATTTTTCCATTGATATGGTGATCAAGAAGAAGAAAGGAAAAGAAGTAAAAAAACAAGTTTATATTGAGAAAGATCGTGAAGAAGGCAACATACGTTTATGGAATGATTACTTCACTGAAACTCCAACATACCCTGAAAATCTATCGCGACTACGATTTAGAATGAACAAACCATTGTTCATGCATATTTTTGATCGACTCTCCAATAAAGTTCAATTCTTTCGACAAAAGAAAGATGGTCTCGGAAGGCTTAGTATCTCTCCAATTTAAAAGTATATAGCGGCCATTCGTGTCTTGGCCTATGGCACTACGGATGATACAGTCGATGAATGCCTCCGACTCGGTACAACTACTACATAGTCAAGTTTGGAAACTTTTATGGAAAGAATAATATATTTATTCAGCGATGATTACCTAAGAAGACCAACACCGACTGATCTACAACGTTTACTTGATATTGGAGAGCATCGTGGATTTCCCAGGATGATAGAAAGAATCTATTGTATGTATTGAGAGTGGAAGAATTGTCCCACCGCTTGGAAATGTCAATATTCATGTGGTTCAGGAAAACCCACAATCATTTTAGAAGCGGTTGCTTCATATAATCTATGGATATGACATGCATTTTTTGGACTTCCAGGTACCTTAATTGATTTCAATGTTCTTGATCGCTCACCTCTTTTTGATGACATAATAAAGGGCCAAGCTCTGCAAGTCACCTACTCTGTGAATGGAAGAGAGTACCACTTGGCTTACTATCTCACCGAAGTTATTTATTCAAAATAGACAACTTGTATCCAATCTATTCCAATACCACAAGGTCTGAAAGCGGTTTTATTTGCTCAACATCAAGAAGCTGTCCGAAAAGATGTCGAGCGTGCTTTTGGAGTCTTGCAAGCTCGCTTTGCCATTGTTAAAAATCCTGCATTTTTTTTGGATAAAGTCAAAATTATGAAGATTATAAGAGCATGTTTCATATTCCATATTTTTTTTAAAGAATCCTTAATTAAGAGACTTGCACTGGAACACATAAATGTTCGAGTTTTTTAATGTTGTATCTTAACTCATTTTTACTATTTAAAAGTATTAAGAAAATAAGAGATCCTAGCTAAATGAGTATTTGGTATAATCATGCTCTAAACAATATCTTATTCTTTATTATAAAACTAGGTGATAATCTATGCCCTGCACGGAGTGAGTGAAATGAAATTAGTATTATCGAACCATCTATAGATATTAGAAATTCAAAAATCACAAATATATTATATAATGATATATCTGACTATAATGTACATGTTTATATAATTAAAAATTATTTTATTTTCTTTACGAAAAAATGTGTTATTGGATGTGTGCATTAAATTTTATTAGATGAAAAAATATAAGATTAAGCAACTTATTAAAATTTATTAAGAATTTAATTAAAAAAAAACAAATCATAGGTAATATAATTATTTAATTCATCACAAAATTATGATGATAATAATTAAGTATACATAGATAGTCCTGGTATCTATTACCAGTCAGAGTTGGATTATAACGGGATTTCGGTCTATACCAGCACCATAATAAAAAAATAAACTAAAACACCAAATCATCGCAGGTAAAATTGTCTCAAAACTCCTGGTTAATCGATGATAGGGGTTTTTAAGTCTTATGCAAATCAAAGTAGTATTTTAGATGTCAATCCAAGTTCTAAGGTTTTGAAACAAAGAGATTAAGCTATGCTTGATCTAAATGCAATCAGTTTAGAGAGTGTGAAATGATTTAAGAACAATTCAAAATGTAACAAGTAACAAGCTTTCTCTCAATTAGTGAAGACTAGACTCATGGGGATAGGTATTTAGTTTAGGTGATCAACTTTCAATCTAAAAATGGCAAACTTTCAATCTAAATGTTTCCTTAAGTCTAAACAACAATGCTAAGCAAGTTCTAGGTCTAGACAAATGCTCATTTGCTTTCATTAATCAAACACAAATGGTCATTGGCTCAATTAATTCAAACAATCATTAGGATTAAGTTCAATAACTATCTAAAACTTCCTAGATACAAATGATCATTGGCTAGATCTTAAAGCTAGATGAGTTGGTTCAGACATTTAAACAAACACCTTGTGGGAAGAAAATGTCTAATGATTATGACTAAAGAGGACAACATTAATCAAGCATTAAAATCACTCAACTAACAAGGAAACACAAGGATCTAACACCTAACACCTTAGATATACACTTAATCACCCTTACCAACCTATCCCATGAATCTAAAATGGATCTACTCACTAATACACATGATTAACCTAACAATAATGATTGATTGTTGGTTAAACATGATTAGAGATCAAGATTACTCAACAAACTTAAGAGAATAAGATGAAAAGAAGATAAAGTTATGATCTTTCACCAAATAAGTACTTAGGTTTTTAAGAGAATACAAGATAAGATCCCTAAAATGAGGCTTAAGGGTTACTAATCCCAAAACAAGTAGGGTAAATTAAATAAAAAGGCAGAATATTTATTAATAGCGACATGGTCTTCCCGCTATGTACTGGTCGCTACGGCTTGATCGCATATGAGGGTTTCGTAGCGACATCATGAAGTCGCTACGCTTGTCGCTATAGTGGCTCGATGGGGTTCATAACGACATCCATAAATCGCTACGCACAAGTCGCTATGACACTTGGTCGTTATGAGCTTCGGTCTTGGAAATCTGTAGCGACATCACCATCTCGCTACGGAGGTCGCTACCTCAGCTCGTACGTATCCATAGCGACAACCATAAGTCACTACGCCTGGGTCGCTATGGCACTTGATCGATTTCGAGTTTTGATGCTGCTTCTCGTAGCGACTACGCCAAGTCGCTACGCATGTCGCTATGGCACTTAAGCTTGCGACGCGAAATGAGTGTAAATCACCAATATTGGCTCCAAATCAACTTCCATGTCTTCAGAAACACCAAAGAGAATCTCCAACACCTGAATCATGCAAAAGTGATGCAATGAAACCTAAATGTACTATAAATGTATCTAAAGTCTAAAGATGAAAGCTAAAATAAAACTTATAAACATGTAAATACACAAGATATCAATCGACACATGGATTTTATCTCCCTACAGAAAATACCTGGATATCAGATACAAATAATAAAATACACAAAAATATGTATTAACAATATTCTATAATACGAATGTATATTTACATCTAAACCATTTCTATGGTCTCTCCAACAGAAACATAATACTACTTCTAAAGTCATATCATTTTCACTCTTATCTTCATATTGACTTTTTAGGCTTTAGATCAGCAATGAAATTGGTGTCACTCATTTTTTATGATGTTTTTGAAATGTTTAGGTTGTGATAGTGTTCTCAGATTAGTTTAAGGAGATATATATAGTTCATAGAGATTGAAATAAGAGTTAATTGTGTATCATAATTTTGGCCTAAGATCAAGCCAAACGAAATCAGTAATTGAAATCTCGCCTAGCTAATAATTGGAAAGAAACATTACTTGAGATTATGACATGTAATATTGTTATATAAATTTTATAAATTTTATAACTAATACATAGTACTTGTGAAGACCACTGAACCACTCATTACAATTAATAATTACATTATAGTTTTCTATTACCCGTTGTCATTACATCTTCTCCCAAAGTTTTGCACATAATCGAGTTCAAGTTAGATAAATTCTTTCAAGATTTCTCTCTCATTGAGTAAAGAATCAAGCTTATGGTCGATATACAAAAATATATAAATATATATTAGTTAAAAATAAAGGGTGTAGAATCCTGATGATGCTGCAACTGTCTTCAAAGTGTTCATGGTCTTCGTCATCGGTACATAAATTGATGATTGCTCACCTGACAAACCCATCGTGGATTGGTTGATACCTTTATCGTAGTCGCTTGATGTTAAATTTATATTTTCGGATGCTGATGAAGTACCAAGACTAAGTTCAAGACCGCTGTGAGCAATTCCTAAAAAGAAAAAAATGTTTATGGAATCATATATGAATGGAATTATCTATTATTCTTTACTATTTGAGTTGCCTAAAAACAAAGGCAAAAAGGTTTAGCTTGGTTGATCTAATGTCAAATATGTGGTTAGTGTTGTATAAGTATGTAATTTTCACTTAAATTCAATAATTAACCTTACAATAAATGTAAACATTGTGACCAATATTTATGAATTACCTTTAATATGGGCACCAAACTTCATGGCTCCTTCTTTTCCCAACTCATTGGTTTCGACTATGGCATTCCATCCCCTGTCAACATTTCAAACATGCTACTATCTCAAAAAATATTCAACATAATATTAAGTCCTTGTTTTTTTTTAGTGTTTTCAAAGATGTTCATCTAATAATCTGTGAAGCTTATACGATGAAACATAAAATCTAAAGAGATTTAACCTGGTCTCCTGATTGAGCCAAACTGAAAAATTAACCGTGAAATATTTTTTACTAAAATTACATTTCTCACGATAGATCTTGTATGGTAAACAATGGATTAAAACAAATGGAGTATGGGTGAATAAAGGATTATTGATTGACATGACCGGTTTTGAGATTTTGGGGGCTTGTAACAATTTCTATATAATATTTATTTTTTTTCAAAAATTTGGGGACTTAAAAAGTTTTTTTAAGGCTAATGTCTATATAATTTTTTCAAAAAATTTGGGGGACTATTACAAATGTTTTAGTACGCATGGCCGATGGCTGGCCCTGGTGATTGACGAATACTTGTGTATGTAATTAGACAAATATTACACTTTTAAACTTGTTAATTAAGAAGTTACAGAAGTATGATTATATTGCACATGTGTAACAAAATATGATAGTGTTCAGTGAAGTGTTTCTAAATTGAGACTATAGATAAGAGTATTGGTACCTGTTTTGGAAGAGATGAATCTGATCATGATGGCTTTTGAATTGTGTGCAATTTTGAAGAGTCAAGCCTTTGTATTTGGAACTTCCTCTTCCAAAACTCGCACTCTGTCGCCTAAGTGTTTGCACGAACTCCACTTTATTTAAATTCTTCATCTATATGCAATTGAGAATTTATAATCCATAATTATTTTGACAAACGAAAACAAAAGTATACATAAATTAATAATTCAATTTTATATATTCAAGGGATGATTTATCACATTTTATATATGTTTTTCTTTTTCACAAAGGACTTATCACACTTTATATATGATATGGACTATTATATGTTTAACCTTATCCATGTCCTGTCTGTAATCATCCACGACGAAGTTGATATCTGCGTCGAGACCACGGAATTTGATAGCAGCTCGGTCGTATGCCCTGGTATATGTGCATATTCATTTATTAATAAGCAACTAATGTTTCTTTCATCTCCTTAATATACTATAATGTGTATATGTTGACAAAACTAAACAATACTAAAAATAGGAATGATGTCACAAATAATAACAATATATATATATATATATATATATATATATATATATATATATATATATGTGTGTGTGTATATTGTGTCTATGTATGTATATCAAATCTTCTCGTACCTTGCTGCTGCGTAGGCAGTATCAAACCCGCCTGTTGAGATAAAACATTTAAAAAAGAAGAAGGCTAGGTTAATAAGTAAATGATTAATAAAATATGATAGTTAGAAATTCATCATTTATGTCTATATATAGACAGTCACACGTAATTAAGACGACCCCGATCATTAAAAATATTGATCACACTTACCCAAATAAACTTGCTTTCCGCAATCCCTATAAATCATCAAGCCCAATAACAAAAATTAGGTTTCGATATATGATGGTTAAAGTAAACGATAAAATAGATAAAAGCATTAATAAAAAGAACAAATATAAGTATTATTTAAAAGAAAAAAATTGGAAAGAAAAAGAAGCTTTTTATGACATATTAGATGAATAAATTCGAATATATAAATAAAAAAAATTTGGTTGAAAAAAAATTGAAACGATTTTTTTCAAAATAATTTGTATCAAATCGGTAAATGTCTTTTTTTTTTTTGAGAAAGGGCTTAAATCGGTAAATGTATGGATTATTAAGAGAAACAAAAATAATTCTAGTTTGGTTAGTACCAAATATGAGATTCCCAACGACCGGTGCGACGGTAAAAAGTGACGCCACGATACTGGGAACTTCGTGACCTTGGTCCTCTTCTGCCCTTCTTCACCATTTGCTGATTATTCCTCTGTGTCGACGACAGATTCAACCAATGACTGTCGTCCCCGGAGAATTCAATATTCCGACAACAAACATCTTTCACAGGGAAAAGATCACCGGTTTCTTTATGAGGAGGAGGAGGAACAACATCATTGTCGCGTTTGAGTATACCAAAGGTGATGAAACGTTTGTCGGTGGCAGAATCTGTGGAGGATGATGATGAGAAAGAGAGGTTAGATTCTTCTTCACCGGCACTTGAGGTTAATGGTACTTTACGATCTTGATCTTCTTGATGGTTAGAGAAGATTCCAAGGCTGAGATCTAACATGGTACTCATTGTCGTGTTCGAACGGCGTCGTATCGTATATTCCTATCTCTCTCTTTGGTTTTTCTTTTTTAGGCAAGAGAGAGGATAAGTGGCAAGATGGGGAGAGAGAGAGGGTTCTTAAAGAGGAAAGAAAAACAACGTGGGACGTGTTCAGTGTGAAGGTCGCATTGGATACACCTGCCCTTTGTTTACCTTTTCAAATTTTCCCACTTTTGTAATTATTTATGAACAATAATAATAGAAAATGTACTTGCCTTGCCGATGTTAGAAGATGTACGATGAGTTTTACATTTTAATGTTGTCAACAGGACGCGATAGTATGATATGATGTATACTTTATTTATTTTTTATAAAATTTTCTTTTAACTCGATTCAAATCATAAACTTAGAAAACATTATATTGTAAACTATACTCATTTAATGCTTATATATTATGAAATCTGGATTTCAAATTTCGAAAATGATTTATTGAACAATTATACAAACTAATGGAAGAAAAAATTGTATAATATTATGCAATTAAAATTAGTCAAATAAAATTTTAGTAACTATTTAGGGTAATAAAACTCAGATGTAAATTTTCATTACAAAAATAAAAGGAAAAATTCTAACTTTATGTAAATTCAAATAGAATTTTCAGGTCTAAAATCATTTATGTAATATTTTCTTTATTGTAATATTACAATAAATCAGCCGTAAAACACTTAATCTGTAAGAAAATTAAAAACATGGGGAATACTATGTTTTAGCCTTACAGGTACAGAGACGTATACATGTCACGAAGTGCTCTTTAATTTCCAGTAAAATATTGCTACTTGGTTTTCTTATTTTACATTTTCAACGCTTGGATTAGTTCATCAACAAGTTTAAAACATAAAAGGCAACCATGTAGAGTTTAAGGAAATGTAGATTTTCTTAATATCAATTAAATCTAAAGTCAAACCTTAAAGAATGTACTTTTGTAAACATAATTCTTTCAAACATTATGGTTTCTATTGCCAAACAGTTGTTAATGCATGCCGATTAATGTAGAGTTGTATGTAAGATTATAGCTGCTTAATTGCCAAGTGTTCGTTAATAAAAACGATAGCCTGTCGTTGACAAAAAGAAGGGAAATATTAGAAAATAAGATAGTGTCATCAGACATTAATTATCAAAGTGATACAAAAAGTCAATTTCTGACATTTTCGACATCCTACTAGGAAAATTTTATGTTTAGATTTATTTTTGGTGTATGTTAATTTAAACCCAAAAGGAAGTGCCTATATATATATAGTGTGTTTTACGGCTGATTTATAGCACTGAACAAGCCAGCTCAACATGATCGGCATCGATCATCAAAAAAAATGATCACTAACTACTGGAAATATAAGAGCCAAATCAAACGGTGTTTTACCGTGGATGGGAGGTTTCTTTGATCTCGTGAGAGAGTCCAATTTTGCTCTGAGCATTCTCGTGAAAGGAAATGCATACTAAAAAATTCGTTCTCCTGTTTTAATTAGAATCAATTAGTGAGTATTAATATCCGACCATACTAGATCTTAATCTAAATATAATTCAGTTCGTTTATTTTGATGTATGTAAACTATGCAGTGGTTTTTTAACTACTTGACTCTTCGATCTAGCTAGTAGCTACTTGATGTTCATAACAATCACAAAGTTGACTTTTTAGCTATAGACCATACCATATATAAGCGACTTTTAGTAATATGTTTTCAAGTTCGTTTTGATCTTCGACTTAAACTACAAAATCGTTCAATTTCGAGTCCGAGTTGCACAAATTTACGGATACAAAACTCTCACTGAAACTACTGAGAAATATAGATTCGTAAGAAATGAACGAGAAACGAAAATAAGAACTAGAGCACACATAAATTAATTTATTACCCGGAGTTTATTGATGTAGCTACATTTTTGGGACTTGACAAGGCAAATTACTAAAAGATTACATGATGGCTGTGATCTAAAGTTTGTAACCCTAATATCCTTCTATATTTTTCAGATTAGATTACAACAACAAACGAGCTTTATTTTTATATTAAGCAAAGACTGTTATAACTTGATAACCAGTTTAATAACCATTAACAATTGAGTAATAATTAATTGGTCATTAACCCAACTTCATATAACCTAATTGTCAATCTCGACTTAGTTTAATACTTTAGTATAGCTGATTCTTCATTAGCAACGTAACAATCTCCACCTTGATAACTAAATAGTCGTATCTACAATTAACATGTCACCAACTCATATACTTGTCAGGCAAAACACCAAACATCTTAGTGTTTGGTCACTCTGAGAACCCTCAAAGTCGCTTCAAACTTCTTCATAGGAACGATCTTGGTTAGTATGTCTACATAATTCTTCGAAGTGTGAATCTCATCAACAATCACATCCCCTTTTTCAATGATGTCTGATGAAGTAGGGTTTCCTGCATATGTGTTTAGTCTGTTCATGATGAACGTTATTCTTGGCTAAACATATCACACTTTGTGAATCACACTAAATTGTCACTAAATTTTGCTCAAAACCTATTTCCTCAGACAAACCTCTAAGTCAAATTGCCTCCTTAACTGTTTCCACAAGCACCATGTATTCTGGCTCTGTTGTAAAAAGAGCTACCACGGATTGCAAACATGACCTCAAGCTAATGACATTCCCTGCAGTTGGGAAAACATAACCAGTAATCGATCTCCTCTTATCCAAATCTGCTGAGAAATCAGCATCAAAGAAACCCTCTATCTTGAATTTTTCCTTCTTTCTGAACACTAACTTGTGATCTTTTGTTCCCTTCATATATCTCAGCACCCACTTAACTGCAGCCCAATGCATCAGACCCAGTCTCGACATGTAACTGTTCACTAACCCCATAGCATACGCAAGATCACATATGTTACAATCATCGTATACATAATACTTCCTATGGCATTAGAATAAGGCACATTCTCTATCTATGTTCCATCTTCAACAGCTTTTAGCTTAAAGTGAGTGATAGAACCGTAATATATAAACTACGAAAAAACTGAATACATAATACTTCCTATGGCATTAGAATAAGGCACATTCTTTATCTATGTTCCATCTTCAACAGCTTTTAGCTTAAAGTGTGATAGAACCGTAATATATAAACTACGAAAAAACTGAATATTGTAATAAATAAAATGATAAGATTATACCAAAAATTAAGAAAAGGATGATACAATAGTAGAGTCGAGATATTATATCTTTCCTTAACCCAAAATATGTCTCGTAGTGCAACGGTTCTATAACGTAATGGATCCCATGATACAACTGCAAAAATTCTTCTGATTTTCGTCACTCTATCAGAAGCCTGATGAAACTAGCTTTGTGATGTACTCTCAGACTCAAAAATGATACTAAAATACTAGCATAACTATTTCATAATGGGAGAGTTGGTTTCTTCTCTTTATATGTTCGTTCGATCTTATTATGTAAGTTTGTTATTTATAACAAAACACAAAATCTAACATTACAAGTTAGTCATAAAGGGAAAATTTTATTTTTAATGAGAAATGATTCTCATTAACACCAATGTTGAATTTGTATGTTACACAATTCAGTTCTTATTTTAATTTGATGTTCCAAATTAAAACTAAAATAGATAATAAATATGTTGACTTATTCAACAAATTTTCATTAAGATAAAATAATCATTTTACCATATCTCTTTTTACCAATACATTATTGTGTATTCAAAGCTTTGAGCTTTCTAATGAATTCTCCACTTTATATACAATAGGAATTGCTCCTCATAATTTCAACATGGAACGTTTCACAAATGTTTTGTTTTAAGCTTTACAAACAACCCACTTTGAATTTTCATCTCTCATTCAAACTAACTCTATTTTTGACATATGAATATACTTGTTCATAATGTTCAAAACAATAGTTCTAACAATGAGAACCAACAAGAGTTGTAACCGCATTAGCATTATTCATGTTGAATGTTCAAAACACATTTTCAACATAAGTTGACTGAGATAATGTTAAAACTCCACATGCACGATCCCTGTGAATGTCCATGCCTATAATCCTTCTTGCATAGCCCAGATCCTTCATTTCAAACCTTCAACTCAACAGTTTTTTCATCTTCTCTATCTCCACAATGCTTTTAGAAGTCACCAACATATCATCTACAAAGAGAAGTAAGTAGAAATACATCCCCATGTCACTTTTTTCACATACACACAGTGATCAAATTCACACCTCTTGAACTCAAGTTCTTTCATGAAACTGTCAAAGCATATGTTTTATTGTCTTGGAGCATGTTTGAGACCATACAAAGATTTCTTCAGATGACACACGTAGTCTTCTTTGTTCTTCACATGAAATCCCTCAAAATGTTCCATATAAATTTCTTCGTCAATACCTCCATGAAGAAATATAATTTTAACATCTAATTGTTCAAGCTCCATATTATGGTTGACCACAATCGACAATAGTAACCTTATGGAAATATGTTTTACCACAGGTGCAAAGATGTCATGATAATCAACACCTTCCTTCTGTGTATAAGCCTTAGGTACGAGCCTTGACTTGTATCTTGGATCATCTGTTTCTGTTAACCATGATTTCTTCTTCTACACCCATTTGCACCTGATGACTATCTTCTTTTTAGGTCTCTTAACTAGATTCTAAGTCTCGTTATTTTTCCAAAGAACCCATCACATCTCCCATAAACCCATTCCATAGATCTGATTCACTACTATTAATAGCTTCTTGATAACTCGAAGATTCCACTGCAATCACATCTTCAGAAGCTAATAACGCAAATGCTGCAGTAACTTCATAATCATCAAACCTTGAAGGTGGAACTATGTGTATTCGTGGTCTATCTCTGGCCAATCTATAACTTCCTTGAACTTCTTCGTGTTCAGACTCTGATTATAAATCCTTTGGCCCTTCTTCATTCTGAAGATTAACTCCACCTGAAGCCTCATCCATACCAGCACATGTTTGAAGTATAATTTCTACAACCGTTTATTTTCTCAAATCCTTAAACATAACATCTTCAGTAAACAACATGTTCCTACTGATGACAA